ACACACACACACACACCAGCACACACACACACACCAACACGCAACACACCACACACCACACACACACCACAGCGTACACACACACACACACACGCACGTCATCGCACGCACTCACACACACGACACGCACGCACGACCACACACACACACCCACACACATCCCCACACATACACACACACACACACCGCAACACACCACACAATACACACACACACACAACATTACAACACACACGCTTCACACGACGCACCACGCACCGCACACACACAACACACACACACACACATCACACACACACACAAACACCACACACACACACACACACCACTCAACACACACACGGCACGCAGCACACGCAACACGCACACTCAGGCGCACGTCGGTCGTCGGCGGCATTTCGCGCACGCGCACGCGCACGCACACTACGCACTACACACACACAGCAACACACCACACACACACACTCACACACACACACGCACGCCCGCTACGCACTACGCCACACGCACACGACACACTCAGGCACACCACACAACACACCAGCACACAGCAGCACACATCAACACACACAACACACCTCACACACACACCACACACTCACACACTACACACGCACACACACACACGCACACACACTATCCTTGTAAACCATCCGTTGACTTGTTCCTACACATATTGCACGCGTCGTGTAGACAGGAACGACACCCCCCTTCCCTATTACACACGATTTATGACCACTTAAGAATTCGCAATTGACGAATATCACACGAGGCTAAACAGATCTGCTGTGCTGTTCAGAAAAGCATCATTGAAATAGCTATCCTACGCGTTAGCGCCCATCGACACATGACAGCACCTCACTCTCTCTCTCTTTATCTCTCTTTTCTTCTCTCTCTCTTCTCTCTCTTCTTCTCTCTCTACTTCTCTGTCTCTCTCTTCTCTTTCTCTCTCTGTCTGTCTGTTGTCTCTTCTCTCTCTCTCTCTCTTACCTCTCTCATTCCTCTCTCTTTCTCTTTCGCGCGCGCTCTCTCTCTCTCTTTCTCTCTCGCTCTCTCTTCTCTCTCTCTCTCTCTTCTCTCTCTCTCTCTCTCGCGACTCCTCTCTCCCTTTTTTTCGTTGCTGCGCTCCTTAGTACCGTTTCTTCCTCATATCGCCATATATTATATATATATATATATATGTAAATATATATTTATATCATGTTATATATACATTTATTATATATATTATTTATTATCATATATAATATATATAGCGACTCTTATAGATTCCAGCGATGAATCAAGCTATGTAGAGCTACATGTTCTACATTATATTTCAGCGACTTTTCTGCCAAACGCACTAAATACAAGCGAGGATGTCTTGGGATGCAGGGATGCAATGGGGATTAGCAGGCTGGATGCTGGGATTGGCAGGGATGCTGGGTGATGCTGGTGATAGCTGGCGATTGCAGGGATTGCGGGGATGCTGTGGTGCTGGGGTATGCTGCGGATTGCTGGGATGCAGGATCTGCAGGTATGCAATTACTTTTATATTTTTTTGGTTTC